AAATCCAGAGTATGTCAGATCTGCTGGCATGTACTGGCTACACAGAAACCATGGGAGACCGACAGTCCGTCAAATATCCCAATGCTATGCCAAGAAGGGCTTTATAGATAATTAACAGCATCTTGAATCACAACCCAAAGTACACTGGCAACCAATTCATGAAGCAGCAGTGTCACATGGGCTTCTTGAAGCATGCTTATTGTTAGTATTGCCATGGGATTCTGGGCTAACTGAAGCTTCTGAGTAGATTTCAAGGCAGTCCATGCATAGCACATTGTGGTAGGTGATTATGGCATGAGTGATTGAATGAAGGGCCCCCAGATCCAATACAAATGGTGCTCCAGATGGAGCTTTGCAAAGATTCCCTCTGACAAAGCTGTTTTTCAAGCAGTAGCTGTGAATTCAAAAGGACCTCAGTTTGTATACCTGTCTTTATTGGCAAGTGCTACTCCATTGACGAGCATAGCTGGACAATCCTTGGGTCAAGAAGGCCCTAATATCCATAGCCACTTGATCTTGGTAGAACTAGAAACACAGCTTCTAATATTTGGTTTTTAATCTGGTTTTATAGGGGTTTATATTTTTTATGTTTTGCATTTGTACTGTTTTAATATGCTGTGCACCGCCCTGAGTCCTGCGGGAGAAGGGCGGTATATAAATTAAAATAATAATAATAATAATAATAATAATAATAATAATAATAACTGAGTCCTGTTTTGTTAATCCAGGTCTGCAAAGACTCCAGGCATTGGACAATCACTAGGCTGGACCTCTTATAAGTTCTAATCCTTTGGCAGTCGGGAATCATAATTCTTTTATGGGTTCTGCAATAGGTGTTACTATGACCTGGTGATGCTACCTATATTTGTGGGACCAGAATTTTTAGTTAAGTGTATAAAATGTTCCTTCAATTTCCACTAGTTAGCCATTTCATTAGCAAATTAGGATTTCTGCTATCCCACCAATACTATAGTTCATGGAATTCCCTTTTTCATAGTTGAAAACATAACATGGGGGAGATATGTTTCCCTACAATATTTATAACTTGAAGAGAAAAACAATTTGGGCTAGTGGCTAAGGCATCAGGCTAGAAACCAGGACACCATGAGTTCTAGGCCCACCTTAGATATGGAAGCTAGCAGGGTAACTTTAGGACAGTCACACTCTCTTAGCCCATGACAACTAACTTGGGTGACAAGCCAGTTGGTTAGTTTATTTATGTATTAAATTTATATAAGAAGAATAGAATAAAGCTGGAAGGTACCTTGGAGGTCTTCTGGTCCAGCCCCCTGGTTGAGCAGGAGAACCTATACCATCTCAGACAAGTGACTGTCCAGTCTCTTCTTAAAAACCTCCAGTGATGGAGCACTCATGATATCTAAAAGCAAGCTGTTCCACTGGTTAATTGTCCTCACTGTCAGGAACTTTCTCCTTAATTCCAGGTTGCTTCTCTCGTTGATGAGTTTCCAACCATTGTTTCTTGTCCTGCCCTTTGGAGAATTTGACCCCCTACATATGCCATCCATCTCACTGTCGAGCAACTCTGATCAGCTGATGACACATGGATTTCCCCCCCACAATCATGGTAATTGATGATAAAGTAAGGAATCCTGTTTTTTTCAATCTGGGAAATATGAAATTAATGCAAATATGGATTGCAGAAACAGGAAACCATAGTGCAAAGTTATGTGTGTTCACTCTGAAATATCCAATTTAATGTCCCTCAGAGTCATGCATAAGAACAAAACTATACTCTGATCTTGTCTAGGCATGAGCCAAGGATTTTACCACCTTAAACCAATTAAACTGTACTTGTCTCTCACCCACACCCATTCCCCTGAGGTTTGACTTACTAAGCAGCATTCAGAAAACAGGACTAAGAATATACTTATCCAATATGCTTAAAACTAGCTGCCTGTATGCTGCTGGGCCCTATTCTAATAATGAATGTGATGATTTGGAACAGAGCCAAAATTAATGGAAGGCCAATGATAACATTCCTCGAATAATGTAAACTTAATCAGTCTGCATAACAGGATACTATTTGTATTGGTTCCAGAGACGGGATATCAGCAACAATGGATGTGTATAAAATACTGTTTGCATAGACCTTTGCTGATTGGCACAAAATGCGTTCTCCTATACATTCTCTTGATATTATGCATCCCTTAATATTTTAATTGTTCCCATTCAATTTTATGACTTTTCCCCTAGTGAATGATATTTCTATATCTGTGCCAAACTAGAACCACTGCTGAAGAAGAAGAAATTTATGGGAAATTTATGACTGGACATGCTTTATTGGGAAGAGGGTTATGTTTCACTCCTGAGTGAACTATATAAATAGGGCATAACTTTTTGCAAACGCTGCCAATTCATAGACTGTTATTGTCATTGAAAAACATATAAGAAGCAAAGCACTATGGGACGGTAGCCTTTCTATCAAGATTTTGACAAAGTGGCTTGTTAGTGAAGCTTTGGAAAGCAGCACCTCACTTTGAACAAGTGCAACACCCCATGTTGAAGTGGATTTTTGCTTGCCTCCAAACTGAAACAGAAGGGGAAGCATCAAGGCATTGTGAAGCAAAGCTGCCAGGCGTCATGCAGTCCAGGGCATTATAATGTGAATATGGCATATGTTCATATTAAAGCAAGTAGTAAATTCAGAAATTACAATTCCTGCAAAAACCATACTGAATTGCAATGCCTGATTATAAATTCAGTGGATGTTAATGCATGCCCAAGAAACCGATAGATAGCTAGATAGCTAGATAGCTAGATAAACTTTTATTGTCATTTTTTTTACTGTGAGCACATTGGCACACATTAAAAAATCAAAATTTGTTGCTTGCTCTCAAAGGTGTATACATAGATAACCCACATTTAAACATGCTACATACAACATATGTATAAGCCTACACCTTTACATATAAATAACATATAGATATTAATCACTGTCCATCTTGAATACATAGCAGAAAGAGGAAGCCTCAGAAATAAAACCATACACACACACACACAAATGTGTGCGTGCGCACGCGCACACACACACAATATAGATCCTGTAGATGCTGCCTATATTTGGTGATAGGAATATGATCTTGCACATTACTCTGGGCTTTAATTCAGTACTGAGTAAAGCCAATCGTCTATCGCTAATAGCCACAGAATACCAGTGGAGAACGGCCTTAGCTGACAGCATTACTGAAGAATGTCTGTCTCTTGTACAGCACATCTCTGGAGATAAGTTGCTTTGGAACATGCATTTTAAATCACCCTCCTGACACAGATAGCATTGCTATGGTAATTAATGCTAATGCAGTGAGTGAACAGCACATTTGAGATCAGGAGAAGCTTTGCTTTCCTTTCATTTGCAGATAATTTAGATTTCTTCTGCTATGAAGGACGGCTGTTCTATTCAGGGCCTGGAATCATGGCACATTTCACAGCATTACTGAAGGTTGCAGTTCTAAAGTTAAAGCATAATTTTAGCTGTCAGCTGAATGATCCCCGTGTCTTAATTTGGAATTGAGAAAAAAACCCACCATTTTATTTATGAAAATAATGAACATGCCATACCATTTATCCTTATTTTAAATGTTTATAATGTTTATAATATCCTGGGTACTACACTGTAAAGAGAAACACTGGTAAAGGAAGATTGAGGTTGGCAAATGGAGCTGCCCTAATTTTGCGCTCTCCCACTGGCCAGCTGAAAGGAGCACTGGTTGACAAGGGAGGTCAGTGTACCCACTATAGTGAAGCTGCTGCATTGAATAATGGACCGAGTCCAGCGTCTGTCCCAAAGGGCCTTCCAAGCAAACGGTGTGCAGAAAAGAATTTGATTAAGCATCCTTCCCTCTTTTTCATTTGTCCATTCTAGATTCCCTAAGCTCTGGTTTTTGTACATACACGTGCATACGTTTGGTTTTACTTTAAAAGTATTTAAAACTCCACACAATTTTCTTAAATGTTTTTTAAAAAGATAACAACTAATACAAACTAATATAAAGTAAGAAAAAATTCAAAGAGAAAGCTAAAAGTGCAAGAAAGGGAAAAATAAAAATAGAAAAGAAAGAAGATACAAAGCAGCAGGCTTCCAATCTTCTTCACAAACATATATTTACCGCTTATTTTATTGTTACAGCATAATCTCTTCTTTATATACTTGTGAGCACAACTGGGACCAGAATTTCCATTGCTGAGCAATGTGATCATAAAGCAAAATGCCATGCAACTGTATTGCTTGGCGATTGTAATTCCAGCACTCCTGTCTACTGTTATATTTCCAGTTGTATTGTTAATCAGGTTAAGGAGGGTACCATAGGAGGGTGGGCAGACCCTGGGAGGGCCAGTGCAGACCACGCGTGAGTTAGGGGGATGCTATAGTTCAGCACAACTGCAGGAAGGTCAGGAAAAAAATATGCTCAGGGGCTTCTTGGTGTGTTGTAGCTCTGTTTCATGCAAAAAGTCCATATAAGGGGTTTCCAGTCAGCAATAAACATAGGTTTATCTTTTCTCTGATGAGAAAGTCAATTTAGCCATCTCAGCAAGTTCCATCAACATTGCCAACTATTCTTCCATAATGCTGAATCTTTCCAAAAAATTTAGTTCACTCATCCATTTCAAATTTCATTAAATGTTTATACATTTTATATGTACATTGGCAGATTAAGCTATTGTATATAAACAGGGAGCAAACCCCACACTCAGCAAACTGATGATGTTACCTAGTTGGGTAATAAAACATTTGCAAGCAAACCACCAAACTCAGAGAGCACCAAGAACACCACAGATCAACCCTGAGCAACAGATATTCTATTATACATTTTAGCAATTGCATGCTCATCATTGTATTTCAGATTCAATGTTTGTTGTTGTTGTTAATTGTGAAGTCGTGTCCGACCCATCGCGACCCCATGGACAACGTTCCTCCAGGTCTTCCTGTCCTCTACCATCTTCAATCTTGCAATGATCAAAACCACACATTATTTCATCTACTTTAAATCTTTTTAATAATTGTAAATAAGGTAACCACTAACAAATGTAATCTTTTGTTATCATTTCTTCTCCTTATTTTACATTTTCCTTGACAAACTCATTTATCTCATGATAAATTATCCATTTGTGTTTGCCTATTAGTTCTTGTCAGAAAATTGTGTTTCTGACTGGACAACTTTCATGTATTGCAAATATCTTTCCGTCAAATTCTTTCTGTGGGAGATAAAATATGGGATGAAAAACATATTTAAACTTGAGTTACTTATCTGCCATTATTAGCATATGAATTTTATGAACTTTACTATACTAAATTTAAGAACTAGACAGTCCTGAAAGATTGCTTCCAGCATGGTCCCATCTTTCTGCTTCATTTCTCCAGAATCTCTTAGTGCTTTATTTTTCTAGCAGTTTTGGTGCTATGTTGGACTGAAACCACATGAAACTGAAGATAACTCCCATAGTTTTAGGAAAAGTCTCATCAAATGCAAATTTCATGGAATCTTGCAGAGGTATTTCCACAACTTCAATCAGTTCGCCTTCCTCCGCCTGGCCACCTCCTTCACTAGATTTCATGTCATCAGTTATCTGTGCGTAAAATAATGTCTGCTTTGATCCTGTCACACCAACTCCAGATCTTATGGGATGAAAAGAAATAACA